GAGGCCAAGGTGGCACAGGTGCAGGCTGGGGGTCCCCCCGGGCTGGCCACGCCGCCCCCATCCACGGCTACAGGCGCCTATTCGCCCCCTGCGGGCCACGTCGTCCATAAGAGAGAAGCAAAAAGGTGGAGGTCAGCATGGGGCAGAGCTGCAGGACACAAGGCTCAAGAAACCTCCCTCGGAGTCCCTGGGCTCCCATGCCCCCAGCACTGCCCAGGCTCAGTCCCAACGAGGTCTGGATTCCTGGCACTCCCCGACACCACCCCTGGCACGTCAGGCAAGAGTGACTTCCAGAAAGCACGGCACCTCCTACAGGGTCCCAATCCAGCAGGCCACGTGTGCCCCATTCCACCATCTGCACGCCGGGGCAGGCCAACTCGTCTATCCCCACACCCTGGACAGTGCCAAGGGTAACTTAGACCAGGGTGTGGAAATCCACACTTCCAGACAAGGACCCCACACCAGCCCCTAGACTTGGCCTAGCCAGCCACCCCTACCCCTCTCCTAATACCCCGACCCTCGGGGGTCCCTATACTCACAGCCCTGGCTTTGCCCAAGGAAAGGATCAGGAGGACTTTTTCTTTTTTTAATAAAATTATAGATATATAGATGTAGATATAAAAACATAAAACAGACACAATGCAAGCAGACGCTGCCATGTGCTTACTCTCGGGTCCCTGATGCCAGGGGAAGCACGGACCCCCCCATCTCCAATGTGCTTTCCATGTGGCACCGGCCAGGCCAAGGCCAGAGACTTCGTGTGCCTCGGAGAAGGGAGTCTCCAGTTTGGCAGGGAGGGCCTGAGAGCTGGGGCTAGGGCTGCAGGACTCATGACCCCGGGGTGGTATCCGGTCCACATGCCTGCTCCCACACCCTGTGGCCCCCGTCAACCCCCACAAGAGCATAAAGCAGAAGTTAAGGCTTCAATGAAAGGGACAGTGGCAGCCGAGCAAACACAATGGACGTGGCACGGCAGCACGGCACAGACATGGGGACACGAGCCCGCGGGCCAGGAAAGATGGAACACACAGAGCTAGGGCCCCAGCACAGGTGGCCGCCTGCCTGTCCACCCGTCCATCACAGCCCGGAGCAGGCCGGGGCTGCGGAAGCATCAGCCTTGACAAGCTGCAAGCTGCCAGCCAGCTGGGGGAAGGCAACAGTGTCAGGAGCAGCCGAAAGGAGGGCCGCAGTGGCCCATCTCCAAGGGGAGTGGGTGGGCCAGAGACTGCTGGAGACTGGCCCAGGGGAGCGAGGGCGACAGGATGGCGGGGTGGAGCTTGGCCAACGGAGGACACAATCTGGGTCCCCCTCACTGCCCCAACAGGGACAGACACACAGGCCCACACAGCTCTAGGCCCAACTTCGCCCCGGAACCCCACTTCCTGGAGAGAAGAGTGGACGGCCTGGCAGCGGGCGCGGGGACAAGCTGTGGAGGCGTGGCTCTCTCCTGCTGATGTGTCCACAGCAGGCTCAGGCGGTGGCCTCTCCCTGGGGCAGAGGTCAGTGGGGGTAGGGGAACCACCAAGGAAGGGGTCCTGGTCCCTGTGGTGCCATGGCAGACAGGTGGTGGTCAGTTCTCACACCGAAATCTCGTACGTTGTCCCACCCACGCCGGACACCTTCTTAACCAGCGTTTGCCGGGCAGGGCTGGCGGAGGGCCCTGAGGGGCCGGCAGCAGGCCCCAACCAGGCCGGGCCTGGGGACTGCCCATTAAGCTTACTTGGGGGGGTCTTCAGCTGAGGGTGGTCCCTGCATTAAAACAAGCACATACACGCATGTACATGGTGAACATGGGACGGTGGGGCGACAGGACACATGCAGACGTGGGTTGGATTCCTGTGTCCTGGACCCGGTACCATCACAAGACCGGGCTGTACTGTCACAGGACAGCCAAGTATCATCAGAATTGTGGCCAGCTTCTTGAGACTCTCGATCTCTCCCAGCTGGCACTGGCCAGAGAACAGGCAGGCTAAGTGGACATTAAACTGAGCCCTAGACCCTGCCTCGCCGGTCCTAGTGCCCTGGGCTGGGAAGCCTAGCGGCAACACTGTACCCCCGCACCCCCCGAGAATGAGAGGCTTCTTGCTGCTTAAACATCCCTGTGGCAGAGCCTCTTTATTTCCCAACTTGACACAGTCTCCTCCTGAACCCAAGAAACCAGCCAGGCTCCAGGAGCACAGAGCAGAGAGCCTTGCTCGGGGCCAGGCTGCACTCGCCAGCCTCCCTGTAGCCCAGGGGTCTGGTCGGGGCTCTCCCCCGGGCCTTGTCTGCCAACAGGAAGTAACGGAGCCTCTGCTCAGAGCAGCAGGGGCGTGGACGGGACGGTGCCAGGACGATGCCATGGTCTGCCCAGCACGAGCACTGCTCCCATGCAGTGCTCAACCCCACGTGGACCTGGACTGGCAGCCTCAGTCACCAAACCCCTGGGAGCCTGGAACCAAGCTGCCCTCTCTGGGCCTTAGTTTCCCCACTCCTAAGCAGGAAGTCCGATTCCTGTGACTAAGTGCCCACATCAAGGCAGACCCAACCAAGGAGAGCCCCAAGCACAGCCACGAGGGTCGGAGCCCAGGACCCAAAGGAGACCCACGCTGCAGTGTGGCACAAGTGCCAGAGAGGTTGTCCTGGGCCTTTTCACGTCCTGGGTCTGTGCCAGCTCTGGGACAATGTAAGATGTTGCACTCGAGGCACAAACCCTCCTGCCCTCCTTACACACACATGCAGTGTGCCCAGGGCAATGCTCAGAGCCAGGCCACCTTCAAACAGGGCCACTAAGGGGTCTTTGAGGCAGGATGGAGCCCACCCTCCCGGCCTGGTCCCTGCAGCCACAGTGAGTACCAGGCCAAGAGGGGCCCCAAGGCATCTGGATGATGTCCTGTACAAGGAGCCCACCCACGCCGCTAGCACCCACCTCTGCACAGCCAGCGAGGGCGGCCGTTCGGGGAGGTCCGTGTGGATGAAGGCGACGGCTTTGGGGCCCGCATAGGAGGGTGAGTGTGGAGTGCCAGGCGGAGAGGGCAGGCCTTGGCGGGCAGGCGACCTGTGTGAGCCACTGCCTGGCCGGGGCCCCGGGGCACTGCTGCCGGCTTGGTCTGCCTGCAGGGAGGAGGAGGACGTCCGCGGTGCCCGGCTCACGGAGCTGCTCAGGGAGGACAGGGACGTCTGCAGGGCAGGGTTGCGGGCACCACCGAAGCCAGGCCCAGCCACGAGGTCATCTCTGGAGCCGTAGTGCAGCGTGGGGCCACGACTGCCCTCAGACAGCGTGCTGGTCTGCTGCAGGCTGTAGGAGCTGGGGGCGTCACCGAAGAGCGAGTCGGCCTGGGAGCGCAGCAGCCGCTCTCGCTCCTCCCTGTCCTTGCGCTCCTGGATGGAGGCCATGATGGTCCGAGACAGGTTGTCATAGCGCACGGGGGAGGGCTCCCGAGGCCGGGGGCCCAGGACAGGACTGAAGCTGCGGGGTGGGGGCCGTGGTGGGTCACCCGCCACCCCAGGGTGGAAATAGGGTGA